CCAAGTCTGTCCTTTTATTTAAAAAAAGTATTTATTTATTTTTATTGGAAAGGCACATTTACAGAGAGAAGGAGATACAGAGGAAAATATCCTTTATCCTCTGGTTCACTTCCTAAGTGCCACAGAGGCTGGAACTAGGTCAAATCCAAAGTCAGGAGCCAGGAGTTTATTTTGGGTCTCCCAAATGGGTGACAGGCCCCAAGGACTTGGGCCATCTTCTACTGCTTTCCCAGTAAACATCAAATGTGTTTTGGACTCATACAGCTCTAGCCAGCTATACCAAATTCTTCTGAAATCCAGAACTGGCGCCCACGGTTCCACCTGTGAGCTTGGCCTCCTTTTAGTGGAAGCGTGCCTTTGAGAAAGAAGGATGCTCCAGGCCCTTCCTGTCAACAGAAGACAGAAGTACCTAAGGATTGGAGGAGTGCTGTGTTCATTGATGAGTAAGCTGTGCTGTGGACAAGTTGAAGTCCACCAGCACTCTTCCTAGTTTGAGGACTTTTGGGCACTGCTCTAATGCTCTGTGACCACTTGACCTTTCTTTTGGAGAAAAGAATTTGAGAGGGGGCATCTTTACCAAATGATTAAGGAAATTCCTGGGGTGAGGAGAATGCTTTCATCCGAATGAGAGGGCAGACTTCATTTAGATTATTATGCCATCTCCATAACAATCTTCTGATGCTGCTATAGATATCCTCACATGAAACCTTATTTGAGGAGCTAGCGATGTGGCACAGCACACACAAAGCTGCTACCTGCAGCACTGGCATTCCATATGCTGATTTATGTTCCCATTGCTTCACTTTCTATCTACTCTCTGCTAAAGGCTTGGAGAACCAGCAAAATAATGGCCCTTGGCCCCAGAACCCATCGTAGGAGATTTGGTAGAAGCTCCTGGCTCCTGACCTAGGCCATGTGGACTACTTAGTACGTGAACCAGAGGATGAAGATCTCTCTCTTTTGCCTTTACTCTCTGTCTCTCCTTTTCTCTGCATAATTCATTCAAATAAACAAATACTTTTAAAAATAATTACATATTTGAAATGGAGACAGAGAGAGAATTTTGCCATTTACTGGGTCATTCCCCCTGTGTCTGCCATAGTCAAGGTTGTGTTATAGTTTGAAGCTAGCACCCTGGAACTCATTGTGGGTTTCCTACATGGGCCCAACACAGAAGTACCTGTGCCATCATCTCTCATATCCCAGGGAACACATTAACAGGAAGCTAGGATGGAAACTGGAACCAGGACTTGAACCCGGTGCTCCATATAGGATATAGGCATCCCAAGTGGTGTCTTAACTGCTGTGCCCAATGTTGGCCTCTGATCTTATTTTGGCAAATTAGGGAGCTGAGGCATCATGGGACTAGGTGCCTGATTCAAAGTCAGACAGCTAAAATGATTGGACTTGCAAGGCCTCATGTATGGCTCTTAGCCCGTGGTTGCTCCACCTCAGTACTGGTTTGCAAAGAGAAATCTTTCCAAGGAGAGGAAGAGGGAGCAAACACCTTGAGGTCCCTAGGAATTAGAAATAATTAATCAGCAGACATGGGCAAAACTCGAGGTTCCCTTATAAGTTTTCTTGGGTCATGTGGAAAAAAAATTAAAATATGTGCAATGTTTATGAGGCTGGCAGAGATCAAGAAGGTTAAGATATCGTTTCAAGAGGAGTGTGGAGAAAAAGGCTCTCGTGGCTGGTGGCAGTGTGAACACACTTAGCCTCCACTGGGAATGTTGTGGCAATATCCATCAAACCTACAACTGTCCGTAGCTTTTGACTCAGCATTCTACCTCTAGAAATCTATACTACAGATATATTTGCACATTTGCAAAACGATATGTGTTCCAGACTATGCACCAGAGCACTATTTGAAATACAATAGGTTGGAAGCAACTTAAGTGGCCACCAAGAGAGAACTCATTAAATTCCACTACACAGCCATACAGTCCCAAGAAGAAGGAAACTGTGTACCTCAAGGCATGTTCTCCAAGCAAACAAACAAAAAAAAGGGGGGGGGGAATCCAGGAAATGGGTTTGATATGTTTTCATGTACAAGAAAACTTAGATATGTATTTCTTACATACACACGGGCTGTCTTTGGAAGCATACATAACAGACTGTGACACTTATCTTAAGGGAAAGGTAAGCTATGACTCAGGGAGAGGCATAGGAGACACACAGGAAAAATAGATTGCTCTAAAATGTAAAGCTCAAAATTTTAAAAAGATTAAAACAGACAAAAAAAAAAAAAGCACAAGCCGTTTAAGGCGCTGTTCAAGTACGGCATGGATTTTCTCCGGAAGAGCAGCAGAATGGTGGGTGGAAACTGGCGTCAGACCCTCAGGAATTTTGGCCCTGCTCATTACTAGCTGTGTGATCTGGGACATCCTTACCAGCTTCAGTCTTCTCATCCAGAGAACCAGTGGAAATTAAGTGTGTGCAAAGCACTTAGGCACACAAAAGGCAAGCAGGAATTGGTAGTTATTAGTCCTCTGCCTGCCCTAAAAGGTACAACCATCAGGCCGGCTTCGAGTTGCCCTGGCCCCTTCCGCACCCATCTGGCAGCAGATGAAACAACGCGAGGACATCTCAAGTTGTTTTTCTGCTGCCTAGAGGTTTGCACGTGGGGACTCCAACTGCCTCCCAAGGCATTCTGCCTTCTGGCTCCGGCCTCCCAACCTGCACACCTCGCCTCAAGTGAGGCGGTCCCTCAGAACCTGGCCCGGTGGTTTCTCGAGGGTGCAGAGGAAGAGGGAACCCTGTTGACATAGTTATATAAAGAAGCCTGTCACTCAGCGCCCCCCCTCCCCACATCTGACCAATTACCACTGCAGATCGCTATGCATATTAAAGGAAGGGGGGCTGCAAATACAAAAGGAAAATAATCCAAGAGAGAGTGGGAGAGGGAACAAATCAGGATGCTTGAGGGATTCCACGTGGTCGCCAATCTGTAACTGATCAAGCAGCCACCCCTGAAGCAAAAGCCCCCAGCGCCTGGCGCTCCATATACTGCAATGGAAAAATGGTCCACAATGAGGTGTCCACATCCTTGCTTCGCAGAGTCTTGGGGTTGCCGCCTAGTGCCCTCCCGTCATCCCCACCTTTTCTGCACCTAGTAAGCCACGCGATGTGACAACGAAATTTGGTTGTTGTGTGCGCCTTGCAAGCCATCTGGGCCCCATCCTGTGCGGTTGGAACAAGGATCGATCCGGGACCAGCTTGGGGAGTAGGGGTTTGCTTGCGACTCCTCCCTTTCTCCTCTCCCTTCCACCCTCCCACCCGGTCCTCCGCGCTGCTTAAACGGTTTGCTGGTGGGAGGACGTAGGTTTTCAGCACCGGGAGGCCGTGGACCTTCTCTGGAGCGTGCAGTGCACCCACCAGAGGGCCACAGCCAATTGCAACCTGCTCATCACGACCCTCCACCACCGCCCCCTCCTTCCCAAACTCGCCGCCCGGGGCTGTACTATTACAAGCAGTGTGTTGTACCAGTGCGGGAGTCCGGGAAGGCTGCGTGACCTTCCAGCGAACTCCACCTCAGCTGGGGCGGGAGGTGGGGTGGCGGTGGCGGAGATGAAGGCTACCCCCGGGGCCCTGCAGGCGGAGTATCGATCCCCCAGCCTCAGTCAACGCAAGTTCTCCGGGCACTAACGCCTCCCTCCCCTCTCGGCTTTCCCAGCCTCGCAGGCTTCCAGCGCCTTGCTGGAGGCGCCCTCCCCTCTTTCCCGCAATAAAGTGAACCCCGTGGATATGCAAGCCCCCTCCCTAGCCCTCCTCCTCCTGCCCTCTCTTTCCCCCCTCCCCCCGCGGGCTAACCCGGCGCGCAGATCTGGCCGCTGGCGGGCCCCTTCCACCCAGTGTATCATAATGCCCAGCGCGCTCCTCCTCTCCACCCACCTACCCCCCTTCTCTTAATCAGAAACGTGCTCGCGAGCCCCCTCCCTTTGCGCGCATACATTAGGGTCTGCTTTGCATGCAGCGGCAGGCCGCGACCGGAGGCAGAAGGGGCGGGGGCGCTTTTGCCCGCCTCTTCCCTCCAGGCCCCGTTAGCCACCCAGCTTCGGCTTCGTTGTAAAGCCGCGTCGTTAGCGGAGCACGCCGTGGCCCCTGCGCCCGGGGGCTGGAGACGCACGACCCACGCCTCTGCAGAAGGGCACGAAAGCCAGAGGCTCCTCGGCCCCGAGCGCACAGTAGGGCGAGGAGGTGGCGGGAGACCTGCCATTTGGGGTGCGCGTTTCGGCTAGAGAGAGAGAGAGCTCCCGCATGAAAATGGGAGGGCCCCTCCTTCTTTCTTTATTTATTTTTTAAGCGCGTTCATTGAGGGCCTCCCTATTTTGCATATAGTAAACCGGGCAACGCTTCTCTGTTTTGCATGTAGTACAATAAGGGCTCTTTTATTCTAGAGGCGTTCGATTCGGGCCGGACCCGCTTGTATCCGTGCCCCGAGGCGGAGGAGAAGGCTCACTCCTCCCCGACCCAGCAGCCGCCTTATACTGGAAGCTGCTCTCCTGGGCGGTTCGATTCCCAGCGCGTCCCGGGAACGTGTGTAATCGGCCTCCGGGCTCTCGAGGTTGCAGGCGGCCGGGTTCCCTCCGCCTCCATCCTCCCCGTAGTCCTCGCCCCCTCCCCCTCTCCCCGGAACCCGCGCTCCTCTCCCAGCTCCTGGGCTTCCTCCCCCCCCCCGCCTCCACCCCTCCTCCTTTTCCCTAGCAATGCCGCTCCCGGAGGGCGGGGCATGCTGTTATCCAGGTTGCGGGGCGGGCGGGCGGGCAAGCGGAGGCGGCCCGGGCCTCTGGGTGGAGTAGCCGCGGCCCGGCGTCTGAAGCGTGGGCCCGAGGCCTGTATACCGATTGCCGGGCCGCCGGGCACGGCCCGGCGCTGTGCATAGCGGTCGGCCGGGCGCAGGCGGCCGGGCGGCGCCGAGCGGGTTAGACAGGTTCCGGGGCCCGCCGCCCCCCCCTCCGCCTCCCCGCCCCCCTGTGTTGTCGCCTCTCCCTCTCGCTGCTTCACTTCACGGGGCGAACATGGCGCACAGCTGTCGGTGGCGCTTCCCCGCCCGACCCGGGACCACCGGGGGCGGCGGCGGCGGGGGGCGCCGGGGCCTAGGGGGCGCCCCGCGGCAACGCGTCCCGGCCCTGCTGCTTCCCCCCGGGCCCCCGGCCGGCGGTGGCGGCCCCGGGGCGCCCCCCTCCCCCCCGGCTGTGGCGGCCGCGGCGGCGGCGGCGGCGGCAGCGGCGGCGGCGGGAAGCAGCGGGGCTGGGGTTCCAGGGGGAGCGGCCGCCGCCTCAGCAGCCTCTTCGTCGTCCGCCTCGTCTTCGTCTTCGTCATCGTCTTCAGCCTCCTCAGGGCCGGCCCTGCTCCGGGTGGGCCCGGGCTTCGACGCGGCGCTGCAGGTCTCGGCCGCCATCGGCACCAACCTGCGCCGGTTCCGGGCGGTGTTTGGGGAGAGCAGCGGGGGAGGCGGCAGCGGAGAGGTAAGGGGGCGAGGAACCCCCCAGGTCTGGGGTCTCGACCCTCTGCGGAGCCCCCCTCCCCTCCCCCATCCGGGCTTCAGGAGCATCCCGATTCTGGGACCAGCTGAGTTCCCTGACCCGGGGCAAATGGCCCTGCTATGTTGGGGCTCTCGCACTCCCCTTCCCCGCCATACAGGGCTGCAGACCCCCCAGGCGACCCCTCCCCAGGGTTTGGACCCATTAGGCTAAGGGCGTTTGGACCACCCTTCCCCTCCCCTGAGCGTTCCCCCAGACCCCTTGGCACGGACCCCCTCGCCGGGGTTTCCCATCCCGGGACTGAACCCCTCCTCCCTTTCACAGATTACCTCATCCGAGCAAGATTCCTCCCTCCCTCCCTGCTAGAGACCTGATCCCGCCACATCCCCGCCTTCCTCCCCGGGCAGATGTGTTACTCCTGGGGCAGTTTCCCTCTCGGGCATCCCTCGGGTGATGGCCTCTTCCAGGGCCACGTTCTTTTCCTCGCCCTTGGGCACCGGTGTCGTTTCCAGCACCTTGCTGGCGGACACCTGACGACCCGTCCCGCGCCCCTTCCCCGGGCCAGGTCCCTACCTTGCCGGCCACTCCCCCTTCCTCCACCCCCGCCCCCTAGCAGATAGGTCCTCCTCCGTCCCCACTCCTGCCCGCCCTACCCCACCGGGGGAAGTCGCCTTTCCGCTCCACCTGGCTCCCCTCACCTCCTCTCCCTCTGAAGCTAACGGTGATCTCGCACCGCGTTCTCTTCTCCGCCGCCCCCTCCCCACCCCCGCCCGGGTCTGCAGGGCTGCAGTTTCTAGCCTGTCGGGAGCTGGACTAGGCTTCCCTTCTCTCCACCCTTTAGAGGAGGATTAGTGGCATCTCAGGGGGGTGGTTAGGGTGGGGGATAGTCCCTTAGGCGTAGCGGAGAGCAGCTTTGCACCTCTGCTTTGGAGGGGAGGCAAGCTTGCCCACCAGCCCTGGGAAGGGGGCCCCTGCACGGGGAGGTGTTTGTAGGGGGACTTGGGCAGTGCCCTCTCAGGGGAAGCAGCTGCTCTCCTACCCCACCCACTGCGCGGGAGAGCACGCAGTGTCCAACCCTAGCTCCCTCCTCCTCTCGTCATTTCGTTATTGATCCACCACCTTTTCCTAGGCCAATCCTGGGGCTTAGGGCAGGGGGCGGGGGGATGCTGGTTGGGGGTTGAGAAGTAGATAGGGACAGTCTTACTTTAGTGTGGTGGTGGTGGTGGTGGTGGTGGTGGTGGTAGCAGCAGCGGTGGCGGTGGCAGCGGCGGCTGAGGTGGTGGTGGCTTGGGGCTGGGAGCAGGAGGAGGATTATGAAGCAAAGCAAAGTTATTCCTTAGAAGGAGGAGTTGGGATTTTTCACTGATTCATACCAGGGGACCCGAGGTGGAGGAAGGATCAGAGCTTTGCCCTTCACAGCTAGTGCTGGGGAGAGAACTGGGAGGCTTGGACAGGATCCCCCTCAGCTCCCTTCAGCCCCAAAGGAAAGTTGCCCTGGGAAGGGAAGTTGAGTTCAGGTTCAGCCGTGGCGTTGCGCATTTGTTTTCCATTGGATGGAGAAGGGGGGGAGTTTGAATTGTAGAGGAAGGGAGGGGACGCCTAGGATGGGGGGATGCTAGGAGGAGGAAGAGCAGCTGCTAAGGGTTGAAGCGAAGGGGGGTAGGGGCTTTGCTGATCTGGAGTGCTCTTGATTGAAACAGAAAGGGAAAGATAACAACCAGCCGTTTCCTGCGTGCTCTGCCGTTGGTGCACACAGAATATCCTGGGCAAACCCCTTGGCTCCTATGGTGCCCCACACTCCTTTAGATTTACCCAAAGATCCTGAAAGATGGGGAGGGAGGAGATCCCGGGGTCCCCGGCCCCTCCTTTCAAGGAGCTGGCATTTTTGAGTTGTTAGTCTTTCTGCCTCTCTGTCTCTCTCTCTCTTCCTCCTCCTTCTCTCTCTCTGTCTCTCTCTCTCTTTAAATGGTTTCTAAGGCAGCCTGATCAGGAGACTGACAACAACCCGCCTTCTGACAGAGCTGGGAGGACATGATGGGGGCGTGTTCCCTGCCTCACAGCTAGCTGCAGCGTCCCCTCTCCCTGCCTCTCTGCTCTATCTCCACCTCCTTTTCCCAGCCTTCAGCAGGCAGCTGCAGTCAGCAGGGTTGTTTGAGACTTATTTTGTTGGTTGCTGTAGATGATTATTTTTTTTTGAAAGGCCAATTCTGTATTTTTTAAGCTAACAACACAGATCCCATGTAGTTGGAGAACCAAAGGCCTCATACATGACAAAAAGACTGAACCGTTCAGGTTACTTGCATGGAGTTGGTGCTTAAATGTGAGTTGATTTTGCTTTTTTAAAAGATACAGCAGCGAAAAATAAATAAATAAATAAAACATAAAAAGTAGACTTATTGACATTTCGTTTACCTGCTTATTTTCAAAATTGAGACTTGCCTGATGCTATGTGGAATTTTAGTCCCTTGTATATGTGAGTCTGATAAAGTCTCTTAGGAGAATTTTGTTTATGTTAAGGGGATTTGGAGCAGTATTCACCCCCTGTTCAGCATGCTTAATGTGTTTTGTGTTTTGTATTGAAGGACCAAAGGTTCATGTTTCAAATGTTATCACACCAAGTTTTGGGCTGACACTTTCCAATCATAGCTTTTCAAGAGACTGGTAGAAAGAGAGGCACCTGGATTCAGGGACCTAATGTCTGGGCACCAGAATATTTAATCTGTTGGTCTTTGACAAATCATCTTTAAAGTTTTAGTCAGATGTTAACACTTCCTTAGCCACTGGCACTGTGAGAGGATTGTAAGAGTGTTTTATTTTGCTCGACAGGAATATGTAGTGTCAAGGAATTGCAGTGACTTAAAGTAAGACCATGTTACTTAGGGGTTTGCTTCTTTTCTTTAAAACTTTTGCCTGAACAGTAGTTGCTATTTCTTTATGAGAATAGTTGACTCCGTACCTTCAACCTTAGTGTTCTGGTTTGGAACTAGGTTTGGTAACTTTTTGCTATGTGGAAGTTTGAAGCAGTCTAGTTATAGGATGTTGGTATGCTAGAGTTAGTACTAGAGTGACAATCTTGTCTGGTTTGGTTGTTTTCAATGTAGAAAACAAGCACTTTTATAGGCTTACAAATCAGGGAGGAAGTTTCTAAAGGAAGTTTAGGGTTCAACCCACTGACAGAATTCTAAGGATTGCTTCTCAGAACTCACAACTGTGTGTCAAGGCTTGTCTGGTTCATGAAGAAAGGGTTAGATGACCCAAAGTGATTCTGACCTTGTGAAATTCTGGTTTGCTTTGAGTGAATCATTACTATCAGTTACCCATAACAGAACCTGAAGGAGTCCTTTTAAAACCAAGTGACAACTTCCACATTACTTTCCTGTTTGAACTGGGTTATCTCAAGGAGGTTTGTTTCTCATTGCTGTTGGTTCCTAACTTCCTTTGCCTTGGTAATAGCTGTGAAAGAGTTCTTCATGACTAGATAGGAATGGAGCTATTTTCAAACACCGGTGGGTGTTAGGGGTGTTGGGGGACTTTGTGTGGGACCAGAGGTAGAGCTGAAGCCTTATTTTGCTGCACACTTTGAGCAATCAGAGCCACCCAGTTGGTGCCTGCCTCCCCTTCGCTCCCAAGTATTGTCCTGTTTTGTTGAGGATTGTCTTGGATGCTTTGCACTCAGCCTACCATGGCAGTGTCATTGTTGACTAGAATTTGGACTGTTTTAACATAAGCCCCAGAAACGATTAGTTTATCAGCAGTTAGCCTTTGTTTATTAATTGTATTATCCAGTTACTTTACTGCCTCAAAAAAGTTAAAAGCAAAATTTCCATCCCAATCCTGATCCTAACCCAGAACAGACTAATTACGTGTAGATTGAAACTAATTGACAACATTGACAATTAGTTTTTCATATGAAAAATTTCATATAAAATTTTCATATGAAAATGCAGTGCAAGTCCATGGAGACTGAGGCAAGCCTTGGAGTTGAGTTTAAAAGATGATAGCCCTGTAGCTGAAGGAAAGTTAAAGAGTGTCTATGGTCTATACTTTTTTTTTTCAATGTTCTTAGGGTGGCCTGATCCAGAGACTAATCAGACTGATCTGGAGAGTGGGGGTGCTAGGGCATTGCCCTCACAGCTAAGGATTAGCTCAGGATGGGCATGGCGGAAGCAAAGTGGGGAAGTCTGTGGACATAGGCTCTTATCTCTCACTTAGGACACCTTGGACAATTCACCTTTAACCTTACATTTTTGATCTATGAAATGGAAAGAATCGGCTAAATGTCTCATGAATCTTTTCTGACTTAGTACTCTGATTCCTTTCTGTGAAACTAATGTTTTGGTTGGGTCATAATTTCTTAGCTCAAGGGTCAGGCTCAGTGAACCCTTTTGGTGACTGAGAACCGGTTAGGAGAGAAGCAGAGAGACACAGGGAAGTTCCTATCTGTGTCACTCCCCAGACAACTACAGCACCTTCCCCCGCAGCCTTCATCCCCACCCCATCCCTGGTTCAGGCTGGAAGCAGAAACCCAGTCCAGAACTTTCACATGGGGAGCAGGAACCCAATCACTTGGCCATCACTGTTGCATTAGCAGGAAGCTAGAATCAGGAATGGAGCCAGGTCCAAGTCCAGCCAGTTATGGCACACACTGTCCTAACAGTTATGCCAAACGCTGTCCCCTAATGATTCTAATGTCAGATTATACTTTTGGTCATTTAACTATATTAGGAGGAATAATTTCATGTTGCGAAAATTTTCATTGTTGAACTAATTTCATTGGTAAAAAAAAAAAATGAAGATAAAATTATAAGCATAGTTCTGAGAGCTTGTAGAGCCCCAAGCATTATTTGGTATTCAGAAGCTGTCCTGTATGGATGTTTGCTTTCATTGTTGTGGATTCCTGACTGTCCCAAAAGAAATTGTCAACCTAAGGGGTATATTTCTTTAGGTGTATGAGCTTTTAAGTGAGAAGAAAAATTCAACACAAC